CTCCCCCCCCCCCAACCATTGGGCCCCTCAAATCGTTGTGCATTTTGTAGGCTACCGGTATGTACTTTCTTAAGTGTGCGAATTCACATTGTTGGGAGAGGGGTCTAAAATTCCGGTAATCTTTTGAGCCTTGCCTTGTTTGGGAGAGGGGGTTGTGGGGAAAGAGGGGGTGGGGGAGGGGATGGGAAGGAAGGAAAGGGAGAAAGGGTTATGATACGGTCGATTTTAGGCACAAGGGGGCTATTATCCCGAAAAATGCTGTTTTAAGAAAATCAAAGTTAAAGTTTTTGCCCTTTGTTCAGTTTCTTTAAAAGACAATGAGAGTTTTCTCTATAGCCAAACAAATACACACCAATGAAACCAAATTTCTCCTTTAGGTAGGACAATGCCCACCCTTGGTGTAGGTCAAGATTTCTGGAAACCCCGAAATCTGAGTTAGCCCGCTTGTCCTTAAAAGCGACCATATAATATACCATTAGATCTACATTGCTCTTCTTTCATCTTTTAATTCTTAGAAGTCAACTGATTAGATGCTGCATTATTTTTATTGTTATTTCTTCTTGTTTCCCCCCATTATCATAAACATTATCTTCATGCTTGTACTAAAATTGTATCCTCTCATACTAAATCTTTTGTCTTTTCTCTGTCCTCATTAAACTATGCCCCCCCCCCCCCTGTGCCAATTGCACAAGATCCAAGTCACCCGTAATATCTACAACATTTGTAGCTTGAAGCATTTCCTTTTCAAGCTGAAAATGCTAACGTTTACATACTATTTCAATTCAGACTTGCTGCAAAAATGCAGGGAATAAGATTATGATTTGTAAGAGTTAATACATGTATGAGGCTTGCCGTCCACGAAATCGCTAAAGTCAACAACCGATGTGCAGTCTAGTTAAGTGCTGTGTAGTGTGTTGGGTTTCCCCAGTGTACACACTGAGAGGACGCAGATCTTCACCATGTCTGAAGCGACGCCAGCAGCCAAAAACACAGTGATGATTGCTATGGATGGGAGTGAGCATTCATTCTACGCCTTCGATTGTAAGTATTTTTTTACAACCCCTATCTGCCCTACCCCTTCTCTTTTCCCTCCCCCCCCTTCTGGCCTCACCCTCTCTCTCTCTCTCTCTCTCTCTCTCTCTCTCTCTCTCTCTCTCTCTCTCTCTCTCTCTCTCTCTCTCTCTCTCTCTCCCTCTCTCTCTCTTTTCTCCCACCTCTCGCTATATGTGTGTTTGTGTGTGTTTTTGTTTGTGTGTGTGTGTGTGTGTGTGTGTGTGTGTGTGTGTGTGTGTGTGTGTGTGTACATCTGGGTGTGTGCGTGTGTGTGTATACATCTGTGAGCGTGTGTGCGCGCGCGCGTGTGTGTATGTGTGTGTGTGTGTGCGAGTGTGCGCATCTTTCTTTTCATATACCATGTGTGCGTTTATTCGAGCCTGTCGGGGAGTTATGTGTGTGCATTGTTATAGAGCCGCTGCACTAAGACATGGAAATGAAAACCAAAGCCGGAATCTCTTTTCGATGGACTCCTGCTCAGCCAAAACACGCTTTTGTTCTGGGTAGTCTCTACCTATCTCTCTCTTTCCCTCTTTTTATCCCTCCCCCTCTCTCTCTCTCTCTCTCTCTCTCTCTCTCTCTCTCTCTCTCTCTCTCTCTCTCTCTCTCTCTGTCAGTCTCTTTCTGTCTCTGTCTGTCTGTATGTCTCTCTCTCTCTCTCTCTCTCTCTCTCTCTCTCTCTCTCTCTCTCTCTCTCTCTCTCTCTCTTTCACTCACCACTTCTTTTCTTTGCCTCTGTAGTTTCTGTCTTTCTTACATGTTTTTCCCGCCTGAAGGACGGTCACCATGTCCATGTGCTTTTTACTATTCAAATAAACTGTCAAACGACCAGACTCAGCTATCAAAAACGCAGAAGTCTCCTGTCCTTGAGATCTGTGCCACCACTTTCCAAATTGGAAATTTACTTGTTAATCCGATTCGTACACTTTGCCTGTTAAACTGATTTCTTTGTTAAACTCTGAAAGTTTCAAAGAGATCTTTGTACTAAAAGTATTTTAGAATGTGAAGAATACAACCCTGGGGGTACAAAATGACCCCAGGGCGTACGAATAGGGTTAAATAACCTTACATTGTTGGAAGGCCTATGAAAATTTCGCATGATGTGACCAAAATAATTTGAACCTTTATTTTTTGTTAATTAACGCCACACCCAATGCTTGTCGAATTTTTATACTCTTTATGGTTTGCAAAAGTGACTTTTAGTTTTAGAGTAAGAATTTTATTTATTTTCTGTTGCAGCACTTGTAACTCAAATAGGTCATACAAATGCCAAAGATTATAGGTGCATCTTGATGATAACATAAAAAAAATAATGAGAAGGAGGAGACATAGAAAATAGATGTTTGGGCGGAAAGAAGGAGCAAACTACACCAGAGCACCCGCCAACAGCCTACGCAAAGGAAACAATAACTCACATAACAAACTCAGCAGGAACGGTGGCATCACGACATGTCAACGGCGGCGATCGGAAACGAAAATTGCGACAATAATAACTACAACAGCAGCAGCGAATGCTGTAGCAACAGCAGAAGCAGCACCAGTATCAGCAGCAGTAGCAGTAGCAAGAGCAATATTAACCGTAGTATCAACATGAAAACAATCCGGAAACAACAAATGCAGCTTTTGGGACACCTGAATAGACATAAAGGTCTTGCACATCTAGCTCTCACTGGCAAAATTGAAGGCAAACGAGGCAGGGGTAGGCCCAGAGCAACCTTCTTAGGGAACCTAAACAAATGTGTAACGCGGAGAGATCAGGGAAATGTAGCTTTTTTAAGAGCATCCGAGCAAAGGAATGAATGGAGAACCATGGTCGCCGATGTCTGTCGCAGATCGGGCACTAGATGATGATGATGATGATGATGATGATGATGATGATGATGATGATGATGATGATGATGATGATGATCATGATGAACACAAGTAACAACAGCAGCAACAAAAGCATGGCAATAGCCGTTGCAGATCCAACAGAAGTATCAACAGCAGTAGTAACTTAACAGCAGCAGCAGCAAAAACAACGACAAAAGCTGTAGCAACAGTAGTCGCAACAGAAGTTGCAGTAGCAACAATATCAACCGCAAAATCAACAGCGGTCGCAACAACGGTAGCAGAAGCCGCAGCAATGGTTGTTATTTCAGTTGTGAATTATTGTCCCTGCCCTGTTGCCAAAACCATTATCCGCAAAGCCACCCTACTACTACTACTACTACTACTACTACTACTACTACTACTACTACTACTACTACCACTACTACTGCTGCTGCAGCTGCTGCTGCTGCTGCTACTACTACTGATGCTACTACTACCGCTGCTACCGCTGCTACCGCTGCTACTGCTGCTACTGCTGCTACTGTTGCTGCTACTGCTACTACTACTACTACTACTACTACTACTACTACTACTACTACTACTACTACTACTACCATTACCGAAGCTACACAACAGCATCACACACAATAACAACAACAACAACAACAACAACAGTAACAACAGTTACAACAGCAGAAACAGCAGCAACAGCAACAACAACACCACCAGCAAAATGGAGAAATTGCTAACTAACTGTCCCCGTGTACCGTGTATCTTACGATAAGAAAACTGGTAGGCCTGACCTTTCACCATCCAGGGCGAAGAGCTTAAGTATAAGTTACTACTTCGGTTACATAAGAGGCTAACTCTGCATGCCGCTCGTGTGTGCTGTTGACAGGACGTGATGTTTGCCATGCTCTGGGACAGGTATTCGATAAGGTTTTGTTAAGCCTTTGGGGGTTATAATCTGTCGTTCCTTATCCTCTTCCAGAGTTTCTCTCTCTCTCTCTCTCTCTCTCTCTCTCTCTCTCTCTCTCTCTCTCTCTCTCTCTCTCTCTCTCTCTCTCTCTCTCTCTCTGTCTCTGTTTGTTTGTCTGTCTGTCTGTCTGTCTGTCTGTCTGTCTGTCTGTCTGTCTGTCCTTCTCTCCCTCTCTCTCTCCGTGATATTTTATATATATATATATAATAATTATAAATATATTCTCTCACCTCACAACGTATATGTATGGACATGTACACACAATCACATAATGTATACACGTATTCTAGCACGCAAGGGTAAGTTCACGCAGTACAGCTGCTCCCAGATAGATAGATAGATAGATAGATACACAGATACATAGATACATAGATAATACATAGACAAAAATAAGATAGATACATAGATACATAGATAGATAGATAGATAGGTAGATACCCGTAGATAGATGAGTGGATAGATAGATAGATAGATAGATAGATAGATAGATAGATAGATAGATAGATAGATAGGCTGATGGATAGACAGATGGAGAGAGATAGAGAGATAGATAGATAGATAGAGAGAGAGAGAGAGAGAGAGAGAGAGAGAGAGAGAGATTTTGGGGGGAATGGGGGGGGGGAGCGAGAGCTAAGTTAGATAAATAGACTAGAGTACAGAGGAGGCAGAGACATCAAATACGCCCTCGCAACACCGTGAGGTTATTTAAGAGGCATGACCTATGAATTTAGCATCCATTTCCGATAGGATCGAAACAAATGATAAAATTCGTTAGATGTGCCTTTCCCAAGGGTACAAGGTCGGACCAAGCCGAGCCACGAGCCCCCGAACCCGGAATCTCATGATAACGAGTCCTGTAGCTACCGACGTCACTGAATACTTCTATTCTGCGTGGGCAGTATTGCATACAGACATATCTCAAAGGCTGACAAAAATGACTTACACCTGTTTGCAATACTGCCCGCGTCATGGGGAAATAACCACCAGTAAACCAACTTCCCGTCCCTTCTTACCCCCCCCCCTCCACCACACGAGTTCAGAGTGTTGACTGTCACCCATAAGGTATAGGGAGCGGTTGGTTGGCGGGTGCTCTGGTGTGGTTTGCTCCTTCTTTCCTATCAGCCACCTATCGTCTTTATCTCTCTCCTTGTTTGTGTTCGTTATTCTCTTGTAACACCTCTGATCTTCGGCACAAAACTTGTGTGACCTAATTGGGTTTCAAGTGCCGTAAAATGTTTACTAAAACAAAAACAAACAAAAAAGATATAGAGAAAGTTAGACAGGAAAATGTAAGGTCACGAAAAGCGAGCTAGATTACAAATGATATCTAGAAAAGTGTACACCTTCCCTAGACTAGTTTACTGGCTAGTGTCCTGGGATAAACGTAGCTTTTAGGACCGTTTAAAGTCTTCATTGAGAATACCCAAGCGTGGTGCCTTTAATTTTGAACAATTTCCTGGATACTTATTCGACTAGCGTTTTCTTTTGAAGAACACTGACCACTGATGTTAACTACAGTCGAAACTGTTTAAAACGACAAGGGGGGGGGGGAATGGGAAATGGCCGGTTGTACGGGTGAGTGTCTTATACAGGTGGCCGTTAGAGCAGGTTCGACAGTACATTATAGTCAGCATTTGTTCTCTGCGTTGTTATCATTAGATGTAGAAGATCTGCAGACTTTAGGGGGTCACGATGTGTTGGAAAGACATTCAGCGTAGGTGGTTAGCGGGTGCTTTGGTCTGGTTTGCTCCTTCTTTCCTATCAATTACTATCTATTATCCTTATTTCCCCTCCTTTTTGTGTTTGTTACTCTCTTGTAACACCTTTCATTATTGTCAAGTGCCTTTCCAAAGAATACCACAAAATCATACCGATCTCAGGTTCGAACCCCGGACCCACAATCTCACGTGTACAGGTCCGCACTAGGCTACCGACGCCGCAAGTATGTAGCCTGGTGTCTTTTTAAAAAAAGGGAATATTAAGTGCTGCAAGCCATTACGGTAAAACAAAATAATGAATGTTCTTTTTAAAAAAACGTAATGGCTAGCAACACGTACGAAAACAAAAGTTAATTAAAAAGTAAACGTTCTGTTTCCAAATTGAAAAACATGTATAATGTGTCCTACGCGCTCAAATGACCTTATATAGTTGCGAGGGCTGTAATAACGTAATTCACAAAGAACCCCCTCACCCCTAAAAAAAACAACACCACCCCTCAAAAAAAAACCCCCAAACAAACAACAAAAACCCCGTTCTGTTGAACTTATGGTTGTGTGTAACCTTCATGCAGTGCGATTTAGGTACGGTCGGTTCGTTGGAGCCACTCTCCAGAATATTGACTTGACCCATGACACTAATAGGGCCAAATGGCCAGATTGAAAATCGATGCGCTGTTGTTCTTGTCGAAAGTCATCCCCTCTTTCTGTCGCTTGCACATCTCATTTCCATGATAAGGTGAAGGGATTCGAGGATTTTAGAAGCATTTTGCGAAGTCTGTGTGTGTGTGTGTGTGTGTGTGTGTGTGTGTGTGTGTGTGTGTGTGTGTTTTAATGAACATAATCTTTATATCTGAGGTTTTTTAATTTTATACCTTCAAAATGTGTCTTCCATCCTCACCCTCTTTCCCTTTCCCCTGTTCTGTCCTTAAATTCTCTGTCTGTCTGTCTCTCCCCTCTCTTTCTACCACCCCACCCCCCCTCTATGTCTGTCTGTCTGTCGATCTGTCTATCTTTTTATCTCTCAACCACTGTGTATGTTGTGTGAGTTCGTGTGTGTTTGTGCGTATATGTGTGTGAATGTGTGTGGGTGTGTGTGGGTGTTTGTTTGTGTGTGTGTTTGTGTGTGTGTTTGTGTGTGTGTGTATGTGTGTGTTAGTACGTATGAATGTGTATGTCTCTCTCTCTCTGTGTGTCTCTGTGTCTCTTTGTCTCTCTCTCTCTCTCCCTCTCTCTCTCTCTCTCTCTCTCTCTCTCTCTCTCTCTGTGCCGTGCATGTACGTGGATGTGTACGGGTGTCTATCTCTCCCCGCGTCTGTCTTTGTCTTTGATTTGTATCTCTTTGTCTTCTAGTATTTATACTACCAAGCTCTTCAAACTCAATCCTTCTCGGAGAAGTGTAAAAATGTATTTTGTTCACCCATTACAGCTGAAAATGCTCAAGCTATGTTGCAAAATGGAGTACATCGCAAAGGCAGGCGTACATTATACTTCCTCAGATATAACTTTCCTACACAGGTAGCTCACGATCACCAGACGAGCTTATCTGCGAAACGAAAATGGTTGACAGCACATATTTATTTACCGTTTCCCCATCCAACCTACACATACTTTCGTTCACTCGCATCAAGTTCCGACCGATGTTCTAAAAGCGCTAATATCATTTTTTCCCATGCTTTTAACCCATCCGCCCTTTGCCTTTACTTCAATATCTTCCCATCGTTTTTCTTTTAGGCTTCCTCAAGGTAGTCTCTGTCTGTCTGTCTGCCTGCCTGTCTGCCTG